CATTGGTGGGAACTAGTGCGTTAGCGCAGTTAGCTCGTTAACGTGGTGACGCCATCCAGCCCCCACCCACTGGGTGGTCCGCGACAACTCTTTAATGGAGATTTGCCACGGTATGGCGTTAGTGTCATTTTAACGAGATTAACGCTGACAGCACTAGTGGGAACGCAATGAATATGACTGCGCATTTACGCTGACATCATCCTAGTGCAAAGACAAGTGGAAGCAGACAAAAACAACAAGCACGCATGTTACAAACTTTACCCGAGTCATTTAGACAGCCGTTAGCACATGATTCTCCTTATGGGGACCTGATATGTTTAATATGCTGCTGAGAATATAGCCCAGAAGAAGCGTATAGTACAGCTTTTATTTTGGAAAGAGACATTTCTCTGTAATAAACTCTCTTTTCCAAAGATGGGTGATTTCTCGATCTGATAGATTTATTTTTTATTACTTTGTTGTTTCAGCAACATTAAATTTACAAACTGTACTTTTGAGTTAAAATATATATTTATAAATTTAATAAATGACAAATTAAAAAGGTATGAACATTGTTTTGTATTGAAAAAATATCGAACCGTGACACCAAAGTATCGAACCGAACCGTGAATTTTGTGTATCGTTGCACCCCTACCTGAATTCATGTGTTAAATGGTGACTCTAACGAGTACTTTGTACCTTGTTCCAGATGCTGGGGCTGGATGGTTCCCTAGTTTTCTTGGTAATTCTACATCTTTCTTTCATATTTACATTTCTGACACTATTTTATGCACTGTTTAAAATGTTCTCTGCCAAAATTAGTCATTCAGTGTAGATTAATGATTGATTCATTATTTGTTTTTCAAACCACTTTAAAGCCTTTAAAATCACTAAAAATAATACAGAATAATGCGTAGCCACCTGATCTTGTTGGAAGGTGTTCAGGATGATGGAGCTGACTTGATCTGTAGCAGTTGCTTTTAAAAGTTTGAAATAATAGTTTAACTGAATTTCAAAATAAACTTTTTCATAAAGTTAAAGCTGGAGTTCTGTTGTGTGTCCTCTATAGGAACATGTGTTTTGGGTGGTGTCTCTCAACACACTCTTCATTCTGGTCTTTGGTGAGTCCCAGTATGTTTGAGTAATGTGATTATGATGAGTACATTATGAGAGAGTCATGGGTTCACTTCTAATACACCCTCTGTATTTCCCTCTAGCATTTTGCCCATATCACATTGGTCACTTCTCAGTGGTTGGACTTGGTTTTGAAGACTATGTAAGTGCTTAGGACACACGTGTACGCTTAGAACACTGTACTGTACCATGAGTTTGACCTACACTAATGGAATTTCTTGTGTTTGGTTGTAGCTCAAAGCCTCACACTTTCACGGCCTTATCACCACCATACTGGGGTACATCCTCCTGGCTGGAGTCCTTATTGTCTGCCATGTATCCTTGACCTAATACAAGTATTTGAATCTTACACACTAAGAGTGTAGTTGATTTATCACTTGGTAATGTTTGCTACAAGGACAATTTGTCCAGTTTTTATTAAATATTTTTGCTATTAGTTCTTAACTTATCCACTTATTTAAATCCTCATCAAATGTATTGTCCTATAACATGAATATAAACTTCTACATACTATAGGGTAACTACAAATCCTGATGAACGTCGTATATTTTTGGATATATGCAACCTAAAATGTCACAAAATGGGGGGGGGGGGTATTATTTAGCTACAGTAGGACTTCTGTGAGAAGGTTTTTGGTCTTAAGGCCATCTTTTAAGCACAGTCCTAAAAAACCTTAAGAGAAGCTATTGATCATCTTTAGCTTGAAGCTGTTTGTATCTCAGATGAGGCTTTGTTTCATAGTGCTGATTAAGAAGTGCAGGTTGTCAAACTTTCTGTGAGTCCTTAACTGCCCCTCTTTTAGGCCCTGGCTTCATTAGTGAAGTTCCAGAGGTCCAGACGCCTGCTGGGTGTCTGCTACATTGTTGTCAAGGTAAAATAGAGCGCTGCAGCACTCTGTGTTGGTTTTTGTTTTCTGTTTGTCTAAATAGCAAAGCTTTCAGCTGAAACAATAATTAGTGAAATTATGATTACTTGTAAACCGAAGCTAAATTGCAAGTTTTTTTTCTATGTTGCAGGTGTCCTTACTGGTTTCCATGGAGATAGGCTTGTTCCCACTTATTTGCGGCTGGTGGCTCGACATTTGTTCACTGGTAAGACAAACATGCAGAGTTAGCTCAGCTCATCCTGTTGATACAGTCGCATGCTGGCTTTTAATGACTAGCCAAACACACTTGATTGCATCACAATGACGGCATGTGCAGCAACTTGATCAAGAAGGAAAAACAATGTTAAATTGTGAAATGCTCAGAATGCTACAATTCCTAAAAACTGCTTTATAGCTGGTCACATTTTAAACACCTTTGTCTTCATCTATTGAAGGAGATGTTTGATGCCACTCTGAAGGACAGGGAGCAGAGCTTTGACTCTGCTCCTGGCACCACCATGTTCCTCCACTGGCTGGTCGGTATGGTCTACGTCTTCTACTTTGCCTCCTTCATCCTTTTGCTCAGAGAGGCAAGTGGGTTGTTACGGACAGTGACATGGAAAACTCTCAAACAATGTTTTCTGAAAAAATTAGAGATTTCCCTCATGCTGTGTGCAGGTGCTCCGGCCAGGTGTGCTGTGGTTCTTGAGGAACCTGAATGATCCAGACTTTAACCCAGTCCAAGAGATGATCCACCTGCCCATCTATAGACACCTGCGGAGGTTCATACTCTCTGTGGTCAGTCAAACATTCTCCAGTTTACGTTTAACCTGAAGCGTGACTGAACACCAACCAATTGCAGCAGATGGCCCCACCCCTCCTGAGCCTGGTTCTGCTGGAAGTTTCTTTCTGTTAAAAGGGAGTTTTTCCTTCCCACTGTCGCCAAAGTGCTTGCTTATAGCGGGTCATATGATTCTTGGGTTTTTCTCTGTATTATTGTAGGGTCTGCTTTATAATATAAAGCGCCTTGAGGCGACTGTTGTTGTGATTTGGCGCTATTTAAATTGAATTGAACAATAATCAGATTTACATTTAGTCTCTGAAAAAAGAAGAAATGTGTATGAGCGCATATACAAGCATAGGAATGGCTAGATAAATATTTGCTTTAGGGAAATGAAAACAAAGTGCTTTGTACATTTTTTTTTAAGTTTTTGAGATTTCTGCCTCCCTGCCATCTTAATACTGTGAAGTTGAGTGGACTCTTGTTTGTTGGACAATATGTTACTTTGCTTTTAACATCACCTCTCTGAACACACAGATTACATGGAAAAATAGCCAACATCAGAGGTGTTATTTTTAACCCATGTCTATTCTGTCAGTTGACATTGTACTTATCAGAAGCAACTCTGTCTCTCTCCATCTGTTTTTGAATATTCTCTTTTCTTTACTGCCACAGACTAATTCATTCAAGTTAGCAGATTGTTTCTTTTCTCAGTGCTTTGAGCAAATTAAATTTGGATTTATTTCCGTTGCATTTATGGAAATAAATATTCTCTTGATCTGCACAAATAAACCAGCCATTCAAAGTTTTCAAACCTTTCAGGGTTTACGAAGTGTAGCAATTTAAAAAGAGAAAAAAAAAAAAAAAAAAAAAAAAAACGATACAAGGTTGATTATTTCCACTATTTCACATACAGGTTTATTCCAGAAAAGCATAACTAATGCAGCGATGAAGCTGTGGCATACTTATTGGCTTTACCTCAAAGAGGATAATCTTTTTACTGAGATGACGCAGACCGGGCATTGCTTACTACAGCATCATATTAATTCTAATGACACTTTTAATGAATGTGTATAGACACATACACCTGGTTATGACACACAACATGACTTCATTTATAGAGAGCTGCTCTTCTTTTACTGTTAGCACACATCAACTTGTTAAAATATTAGGAAAGTGTGTGACGTTGCAGGCACTTAGTTATCGGAGCACATTTTGTAAGCTGCTAATGTCGTGTAAACATGTCAGGCAGTGTTGTACATAGTAGTCCTGACATTTCTCTCTGTGTAGGAATTGTACAAATTAGTAAGAGACTCACAGGAACTGAGATTCAGAGTTTGACATTATTTTTGAGTTTAAAGTGTAGTCTGTTGAATGCCTGACTTTTAAATCTGTTTACTGTATCCATTAATCTCAACACTCCTAATGTTTGGTTGAAGTGACCCTGCAATCAAACTGTCATAAGATGTTTTCTCATAAGACATTTGTGCACACTTGAATGCCCTTTTTTTTTTTTTTTTTTTTTTTTTT